ATCCATCCATCCATCCATCCATCCATCCATCCATCCATCCATCCATCCATCCATCCATCCATTCATCCATCCATCCATCCATCCATCCATCCATCCATCCATCCATCCATCCTTTCATCCGACCATCGATCAGAGATAGCTTGTATGTTTAGGATTAGTGAAAGATTTAATGTAGTTCTTAGGAGAGGAATGGCTGAATGTACATTCTCTCATCTGCCATACCATCAACTGGCTGTTTAGTTTTTTATTTTATAATTCTTATAATTAATTTATTTATTCGTTTATTCATTTATTCATTCGTTCGTTCGTTCGTTCGTTCTTTCGTTCGTTCGTTCGTTCGTTCGTTCTTTCATTCATTCATTCATTCATTCATTCATTCATTCATTCATTCATTCACTCATTCATCCGTTCATTCATTCTTTTGTGCGTAGATTCAGGATGACAGGAAGATAAGGGAAAAAGAATAAGGGGAAGAAGCAAAAACTCGCTGGAGCGTAGCTTGCTCACTCGAGGGTTAACGCGCATCACCATCTGTCGCTTCTGACGTCACTTCCGTTACCACTGCTGCTGCTGCTGTTATTGTTACTTCTGTTTGTCGTCATTACTGTTGGGAGGTCTATTTAAAGAATTATTAAAAAATTTAAAATTACTGCGTTGGTGTGTTCACGATGAATACAAATAGGGCTGTTTCAAGTGACCAGATTTTATTAATTAATTAATTAATTAACTAAACAATTAATAAATTAATTAGTAAATTAATTGATTGAAATGAATTAAAAACTCAAGAGGTTAAAAAAAGATTGTTTTCATGCTGTTTGAAGTTTCGTTATATAAATTTAAAAAAGTTGAAATAAGTTTTAGAAAAAAATTGAAATTTTATTACGAGCAAAATTTAAAAACGATAAAAGTTAGATAGGAACTTTTCAACAATGCAGTTAATGTAACCTCTGACAGCAACAAACTTTACAAAAACATCAGCCGACATCATGACATCAACAACCGCAACGGCTTCAACATCGTCACCACTCATTACTTCAAGACAAACTCCAACAACAACAACAACAACGACGACAACGACAACATCAAAAGACAACAACAACAACAACAATGGTGGGTCGATATACACGGGTTCTGTACTGTTAATGGAAGCAATCCTCCGTAAAAGACCTGATGTTGTCGATTATCTCATCGCGAATCGCTCCCAGCTGAGCCTCAACCTCAACTCCAGGGATAAAACCGGGAGTAACATCCTTTTCTATGCCGCATCTGTCGGCAGTCCGCAAGATTTAGAGAAGTTGATATGCGCTGGCTGCAATGTGGCTAGCGACTACGAAAAGAGGACGGTGCTGATGCAGGCCACACTCAGTGGCAGGGTTGATATTGCTGACTATCTCGTTCAGATCAGTGATGCTGTTGGTCTGGATGTCTTCCAGTGTGATTCCATGGGCCGGAATGCTATGTTCTACGGGTCGGTTGGTCTTTTTGTTTGTTGGATGGTGGTCAATGGGTTGGTGTTGATTCTTGGTTGGTCACTGGGTCATTGGTTGGTTGAATGATTGATTTTTAAAATTTGTTTATTTGATTTACAGATTAAAGATTGATAGATAAAAATTGGTTCATTTGAAATTTAAAATTTATACCAACAGCTTCTAATAATTGAAAACACATAATAAAAACGTCAGAAAAAGTAAAGATAATAAAAATAACGAGACTGAAATGAGAAAATCAAATCGGTTAAGAAGATGACGACGACGACGATGAAAATGTTGATGACGACGACGACGATGAAAATGTTGATGACGACCGTGGTGATGATGATGAAAGAAGATGATGATGACGACAGTAAGGTCGCCAGCGGTATGGACGCTGTGGTAATAAAATAGGAAGTGCAACTAATGAATTCCATCGCCAGACAGCAAAATTGAACTTGAAAAATTTGCGTCATCAATTCTAAGCGCCATCCACACATCCTCCTCGTCGTCATCGCCCTTATCACATGACGTCATCATCCTCTTTTCCGTATCACGTGACATCATTTTGAGGACGTCATCATCTTCTCCTCACTATCGCGTGACATCACTTTCATGTCATCCTCATCAGCATCGTCTTAAATTGTTATCACAACTATTACCATTATTATTATTAATATAAATTTTAAGCAACAATTTTCATGTTACCATCATCATCACGTGACATAAATATGACGTCCTTATCAGGTCGTCATCATCATCGGTGTTAGTTTTATTACTAGCATTTTTCTTTGTATTTATCAAGATTACACAAACACCAACAACAACAACAACAATAACAACTGAATGACGTCACAACAACAAAAACAATAATAATAACAACAATAACAACAACAAAATTATTAGCCCGAACCAGCAAAATATGAAATGTTTTGAGCATAGAAATGAAATTTTTGTTGAGTGATATTTTGACAGCATTTTTGTAGAGCATTTTTCGCAAACTGAAAAAAATGGGTTTTTTTTATTGCGCTGTTATATCTTTGTTATGGTGAGTTGTTGTTGTCATTGTTGTTGCTGTTGCTGTTGTTGTTGCTGTTGTTGTTGTCGTCGTCGTTGTTGTTGCTGTTTATTGTTGTTGTGATGCGTTCTAACTTTACTATAGTGATAATTTTTTATTGCTGATTCTGTTAAAGTCTATATTGTTATTATAAGATAACAATTATAACACTTCCCAAATACAAATAATAATAATAAAATCAGGAAGGTAATTACCTAACAAGTTCTCATAAATAACTGTGAATTACAATTATAAATTATTCTTTGACTGTTGTAATTGTTGTTATGATATATATATATATATATATATATATATATGTGTGTGTGTGTGTGTGTGTGTGTGCGTGTATGGTTGTGTCTGTGTGCGTGTGTGTGTCTCTGTGTGTGTGTCTGTGTGCGTGTGTGTGCTCCGTTTCTTAGAAAGCATTGGTAAGAGAGCACTATAACAATTAAGCAATCAAATTTCTTATTCGGGTTCGGACAATTACCACTGTCTTATAATAACTAGAGTTGCACTTGTAGTAGTAGAAGTGCTGGTAGTAAAAGTAGTGGCAGTAACAGCAGCAGCTGTAGTGGTAGTAGTTGTAGTAGTAGTAGCAGTAGTCGTAGCAATGGAAGTAGTAGTAGTAGTAGCAGTAGTAGTAGTAGTAGTAGTAGTGACAGTTGTTTTCGTTGTCTTTGATTCACGCGTTTCTTTTTAAAGTAATTTAAAAGTGGATTTAAGCAGAAGACCAGACGTTATACATCGCGTTGAATAATTGATGGCATACTACCAAGAAACAAAACAAAAAAAAAACAAAAAATTACTCTTTGCTCTCCCATATTTTTTTATTATCTTTGCTTTGATGATAACAAAGAACATTATATTAATATGGCGCTCGGTGCTAATTTCCATGCCTAACTCTGTAATAAAAATATTAGCGTCGTTTTAATTGGTGGCTATTTTTAGATTTTTTGGTTGGTTGGTTGGTTGGTTTGTTGATAATTTCTGAAATCCTCGCCACTTCCATCATCTTCATCATTATCTCATCATCGTCATTTATTAATCGCTACCGTCATCATCATACATAAACAGCATCATCTAATGGCTTACAATCCACCAAACATACACGCACACACACACTAACTCACTGACGTACACACAGACACACACAACACACATCAAAATACACACCGATGCCCAACGCAAATACACAAATACATACAGAGACATCTAATGTTGATCAATCCGAGCGGTCGATCTAATCGAAGAAAAACCTTTCAGAGTTGTCTTTGTTTTTTTTTGTTCTATGCTCCGATCAATTTATCTAGCTCGATTTTTTTCTCTCGATATGTTATTCTTTGGTCGTGTGGTGATAATGTTGTTGTTGCTGGTGGTGCTGGTGGTGTTGTTGTTGTTATCTGTTGTTGATGTTTTGGATGATGTGATTGATGTTGTTCATTTCGTTAATGTCATTTTTATTTTCGTTATCAACTTTCATCATTTATCCATCATCAATCTTTCCGTGAAATTTACCTTGATAATCATCATTTTGTAATCATCACCACCACTATCGTCACCATCATCATCATCATCGCCATCATGACGATCATTATCATCATCACCAGCGAGAAGCGGCGTCAACAGGAAGTGAGTAATGATGTCGTTTTGGTGATTGATGACGTAAGCGATCACACAAACTTTGAAAATAAAAACGCGCCCTCACTTCCGCTCTAGAAAATCGCTTTGCTAATCAATTGCCCTTATTGAAGTTAATTTCTTCATGATGTGTCTGTGTTTCTTTGTGTGTGCTTGTGTGCGTGTGTTTGTGTGTATGTGTATACGATTGTGTGTGTGTGTGTGTGTGTGTGTGTGTGTGCATGCATGTGTATGCATGATTCTGTAATGTGAGAGTATCACAGCATAATATGTGCAACCACAAAACGTCTGCTGACTCGAGCATTGCTTCTCTGAGATGCATTATTAGTTATTTTAATTCATCTCCTATTTTTGTATGTTTTTTTGTATTCCAACCCACACACAACACACACATACAACACACAACACACACAATCGCAGAGTTGAGAGCAACAAGATAGAGATGGTGGAGTACTTGCTATCAACCGGGGTGGAGTTTGCAGTAACAGACGACAACACGACCGCCATTATGCAGGCTGCCAAAAACGGAAATGACGTAATGACGCGTTTCCTTTTGAGCGCGTACAAAATGGCGGAAAATAATAGCAAACTCTCCTCCAGCAACAAATCCCCGAACAACACGTGGACGGAAACGGATGGTTTTTTGACACCGGAAGTAGACAAATTGGCTGACGTCATAAACATGGCGGATTTGAATGGAGAAAATGCTTTATTCTACGCCATCCAATCGTGCAGCACTTCCGTGGCAACCATTTTAATTCAAAATGGCGCCAATCCATTCTGCGAAAACCCCGACGGTGTAAATGCGATCTCTTACGCCTTGAACAACGCACCTCCCCACGTGACTGCTGCCATTTTGGATTGTTGCTACGAACTCCTCAGCGGCGAAATCAACGACTACGATGTACGCAACAAGCGTGAGAACAACAACAATGAAGTCAGCAACAACAACAACAATATCGACAACAACGACAACATCAACAACATCAACAACAATAACATCAACAACACCAACAACATCATCAACAACAACAGCAACAACAGTGGAAACAACAACAAAAGTGTACAAATCGTTCATAAAAATGCCGACGAGAAGAATACAGCATTTGCGAAGAAAGAAAAGCCAACAAACAACATCAACAACCATTCATTAACTCAAATGAGTAGCAGTTACGATAGCGATGCCGGAAGCAGTTGCAGCAGCAGCAGCAGCGGCGTGTGCAGCAGGTGCACTAACCACAGCAATGATGAAATTTATCAGTTCATAGACAATAATGACGTCATCAACAACAATCTCTCTTTCTCTTCGACTGTCGAGAGCAACGTAGTCAAAAACATCAACAACAACATCAACAACAACAACATCAACAACAACAACATCAACAACAACATCAACAACAACAACATCAACAACAACAACATCAACAACAACAACATCAACAACAACATCAACAACAACAACATCAACAACAACATCAACAACATCAACAACAAAACAACAAATAACACAATTGTCGACAACAACAACATCAATAACAAGAAGATAGTAAACATCAACAACAAATACATCAACAACAAAGACATCAACAAGGCACACAGCATCCACAGTGTTTTCAGCAACAACATCGAGAATGACTTCAACAATTCCGACAACATTAAAAACATCAATAATCTTTTCAACAGCATCAGTCACATCAGTAACGACATTAACAACAACAACAACAACAAAACTAACAATGATATCATTAATAATGACAACAAAAACAACAACAGTATTTTACAAAACAATGATGAGGTGGCCAATTTTTTTAATGTAACGTTCAATCAACAAGTTTCTGATGACGTCATCATAAACAACAACATCAACAACAACATCAACAACAACAGCAACAAAACAACAAGTGACACGATCATTACTACTACTAACAGCAACAGCAGCAACAACGACAACGACGATGTTGTCAACAAATGTTGCCAAACGGAAAACGTTCGCAAATTCATTAATTTTCAACAAGATGTTACCAAAGATCGTACATTTTGCTACAGAAATTGCGCAGAAAAAGACACAAGTAGTTTATTTGCAATAACGTCGTCGTCATCATCATCATCATCAACAACAACAAAATCAACACCACCAACAACAACAACAACATCAACAAACGAACGAATTAAAACATTCCTGACAAACTTATTGAACTGCAAGGATAGCAAGCAGCGCTCCAGCGTTCAGTGCCTCATCGAGACAGGGGAGTTCGAACTGGCCATGAAGTACTGCAGACTGTCGGAACGTGTGGATGCAACGCTGTTGAGGTTGCTGAGACAGCATCAGGACGAAAGTGGTTGCACGTTGCTGATGAGTTCCTGCAAGCAACCGTTGCATGATACCAAGAAGAACAACTGCTTCCATAGCAACTACTACCAACTCAACAAAACAAAACGCCGCCTCAACAACAACGGCAACAAAAATACTCGCAAAATCAACAAGCTTGACCTAATAAAATATTTTTGTGACGTCATAAAATTTGACCCAGATATTCTTGACTTCCGGGGTCGAAATGCCCTATTTTATTCGGTGGAGAGTATAGACGCAGCCGCTACGTCATACTTGCTGCAAAAAATTAAAAAACTACAACCGGAAATAGGAACGAAACGAACGGCGTTAATGGCGGCTGTGGCAACAGGAAGCCAGCCACTCGTCTGCGAGATGCTGGTGTCCAGGTTCGCCACGGAATTGCTCGCACAGAGGGACGAAATGGGACGGACGGTCCTGCACTACTGCACTATGCTGGATGGATCCGTGTTGAGTGGCATCATGCTGGACACCCTGCTGAAGTTTGAAGAAGGAATGCCTCTCTCTTCAAATGCAGCCACCACCTGGGCCACAACGTGTGACGAGAAGAAGAAGAACGTCGCAAATGAAGTTGAGAGTTATAGTAGTAGTAAGGGGTGTAATGGTGAAGATTTTCTATTGCCTTCGTTCTCAACTCTGAGATTATCACCCTTGATATCATCGTCATCGTCATACTCATCACCGACTTCATCATTATCATCGCCACTGCTGTCGACAATGACGACAACGACGACGACAAGTCCGCTGTCATCACCTTTGACCTCTGCCTTCTTCACCCCACCACTCTTACGTCAGAGCCCACGTCATAATGACGGTAATTATGATGTTTATGATGGTGCTCTTGATGTCGTGTGGTTGCTGTTGCTGCTGCTGCTGACGATGATGTAGAGGAGGAGAGGAATGATGATGATGATGAGAATGATGATGATGATGATGAAAGTGATGATGATGAAGGAAACGACGATGATGATGATAGCGTTGTACCATAAATGATAATTTTGACGACGACGAGGCTCATGATCAAAACATCGTCCATTGACGAAGCTCATTATCGCGCGCGACCATGATATTAATGTCCAAGATATAAAATACTGGCCAATAACTTTTTTGCGTTCAGAAAGATGATTTTCATGATGTGAATTATTGATGTTAAAATTAACTGAATAAAATTTTACAATATCTGAAAAAGATTGATACTATGCATTATTTTATTGTTATTTTAATTACATTCATTTAATTTTTATTATAAAATGAATTATATTAAAATTAAAACTTTTATATAAATTATATGAATTAAAATAAATTATATACATAATTTTTATGCTTACCTGCTTTTTGCAAACAACCACCAAGACGTTCAAAACGAAAACGATCTAGTGGATAAAAACTTCATCATCAACAACAATATCAACAACAACATCAACAACAACAATCTCAGCAACAACATGAATACCAGAATTTCGACTTGTATATCTACCTTAACATCAACAACAACCCCAACAACTTCGTCGACATCCACACCACCATCAACATCAACACAACTCACCGCCAATCTTCAAGCAGCACAACAACCCACAACAACAACAACAACAACAGCAATCTCTAACAGCTACAACGTCAACAGTAGTGGCAGCGGCGTCACTGACTTCAACAAACGCTGCCACCCAGACATTGCAGACAACGAGGGAAAGACCCCATTCATGTATGCATGCAGGAACTGCAACAGACCTGCTGTCATGAGACTCCTAAAGGAACCTCTGGTCTCGCTGGATCGAAAGGACAACATGGGAAGAAGTGTGCTACATCACTGCTTTCTTGGGCCAACCGCTAGTTTATTCTGCGTCGGGTCTCTATTGAGGAGAAGTGTAAAGGTGAATGCAGTTGATAATTTTAACGTTACGAGTCTAATGCTTGCCTGTCAAAATTTCTCCGTGACAAATATCCCGGTGATTAAGATCCTTGTGGATTTCGGAGCGGACCCAGTTCTGCAGGATGATGATGGGAGAGATGCCTTTGATTACTGTCCGCCTGTTGGCTGCGAGTACGTCAAAGGGCTTATGAGGAGTAGATTTGGTGAGTCTTTGTTTGTTTCTGTTGTGACGTTGTTTTAGTTGTTGTGGTTGTTGTTGTTGTGATGATGTTTGTACCATTATATCATTATAGTAGCAGCTGATGATGACAACATCAAAAATGATGACGAAAATGATGATAATTGAAATTATGATGATGATGAGGAGGAGGAGGAGGATATTGATGATGATGATGATGAGGGTGACGATGACGTTGATGATGATGATGACTTTGATGATTAGGGTCTAGTACATTTTTAATGTTATTGATGTCAGAACGGGCAAATAACCGAATTAAGAGCGCTGTGCATATTGTTGGAGGAGGCCTCATAAACCTGCGTTACGTCACGATGACGTAATTGAATGAATACAATTACGATGAATGAATAATTCATGAATGAATGTTTACAGGTGTCCGTGTGAGTCCGTGCGTGTGCTATTTGTATGCGTGCGTGAGTGTGTGTTTGTATGCGTGCGTGTGTGTGTGTTTGTATGCGTGCGTGTGTGTGTGTTTGTATGCGTGTGTGTTTGTGTGCGTGCGTGCGTGTGTTTATGCGTGTGTGCGTGCGTGCGTGTGTGTGTCTGCGCGTTTGTAAGCGTATGAAGGCGTTAGACAAGAGCTGATTTGACTGATGTACAAAAAGTACATTGCAGTGGACTGTTACCTGCAGGGCCAATGAGAAAGCTGGTGATTGAATGCATTGATAAGTGAATGAATGAATTAATTAATTTATTTATTGATTAAAAATTAATAAATGAATAACTGAAATTATAAATGAATTAATTGATTTATTCAAAAATGATTTGCTGAATATGCGTTCAACCAAATTAATTGAAGAATGAATAAATAAAATAAATGAATGAATGAATGGATGAACGAACGAAACACGAATTCATAAATGAATTGATGGATTAACGAGAGATACAGCTTATATTCCATGAAGTATGGATGAATGGATGGTTGGATGGTTGCATGGATGGATGCATGGATGCATGAATTGAAGATGGTTCTTGATAGATGGATTGATTGGTAAATGAATGAAGCAGTTGTTCCTCTTAACTTATCAATGATCGGATGATTGAATCGCGGTTGAATATAGTTGAATGAACAAAATAAACGAAAAATGAACGAACGAACGAACGAACGAGCTAATGAACAAACAAATAAACAAAGAAACGAATGAATGAAATAAAACATGATCGTTCAAATGAAAAATGAATGATTGAATGAAAAGACTGTATTGTTGAACGACTGAATGTATGAAAATTGAATGACTGAAGGGATGAAAGATAAACAAATAAAAAAAATGAATGAATGAACGAACGAACGAACGAACGAATGAACAAATGATTGATTGCTGAAAAATAAATGTAATATGAGCGGATGAAAAGATGAATGGATGTTTGAATGAAATGTAACCAGAGAATCAATGTGTCGAATAGTGTTAACAGTTTCACTGATATGACATAAATTTTAAAAAAAAAGATTAATATTATAATATTAACAATAAAAATATGAAACATTATAAACATAGACAAGCAAACAAAAACCTAAACATACTCAACATAGACAAGCAAGTAGGGCAAAGAAATAAACAAAGACAAAAAAATCAACCTTAATGAAACATAAACAAACATAAATATACAAAACAAAACATAAACGAAGCAAAACAAAAAACATAAACAAACAAGCAAAACATAAACAAACAAGCAAAACGTAAACAAACAAGCAAAACATAAACAAGAACATATCTATGCAAGGTTGAGACAGTATCACGATAAATACCTCAATAATCTAATCAACAAACATCCAATTATTCCACATACATCAACTCTTGTATTGCTGGTTCATTCTGTTTGTTATGTTGGTTTGTTTGTTTGTTTGTGTGTGTGTGTGTGTTATTTTGTTTGTTTATTGTGTTCACTGACACATTTATTCTTTTATTCGATTATTTATCCATTCATTCATTCCTTTACTCGGTGTAACTATTCGATCGATCAGACATCCATTTATTCATTTATTCAAATTTTTAAATAATTTTTTTGTTTGTTAACTTTTTTACACGTACACACATACACACACACATACACACAAACGTACAAACACACGCACATACACACACACGCACGCACTCGCACGCGCGCAAACATACATACACAGAAAAGTGCATCATCGTGAACAATACCCGAACCATTTATTTTCAATCATTTTTCATATTTTGCTTTCATTTACTTTCAATAACCTACCCTGAAAAACTCCTTGTTATTACTTTCTTTCTCTCTTTCTCTCTCTTTCTCTCTCTCTCATTCTCTCTCTCTTCTATTCCTTTTTTTATTTATCTTTTTCTCTCTTTCTATCAAGTTTTTCTTTCACAATTTTCACCTTTTTATTTCTTTTCATTATATTCTCTCTCTAACACCATCTCTCTTACTCTCTCTCTCTTTCTCTCTTTTGCACGTTCTTCGTTCATCACCATTTCCTGAATTTAATTTTTTCATCCATTTACTTTCTTTTCTCTCTCTCTCCTCTCCTTCTCTTTCTCTCTCTCTCTCTTTTCCTCTCTCTCTCTTTCTCTCTCTCTTTTTATCATTTTCTATTGTTTTTCTTTTTCTGTTCATCTTTCACTTCCTCATCATCACCATTTCCTGAATTTAATTCTTTCATCCATTTACTTTCTTTTCTCTCTCTCCTCTCCTTCTTTCTCTCTCTTTCTCTCTCTCTTTTTATCATTTTCTATTCTTTTTCTGTTCATCTTTCACTTCCTCATCATCTCTACCTTCAGGCTATTATTTTATATTTATTCTTACATTCATCTACTGTGAAAAAACGAGAAAAAGAAAGAAAGAAGAAGAGAGAGAAGGAGAGGGAGAAGGAGAGAGAGAGAGAGATGGAGAGGGAGATGATGATGACGATTGTTTGTTGAAGCCCTCAAAGCGAGATGGCTTTTAATTGAATGCGTAAATAAGCAATATAATCGTTTCGTTAACAATGCCAAACTTAAATGTTGCCTTTGTTAATTTATTGTTGTTGTTGATGTTGATGATGTTGAGGTTGTTGTTGTTATTGTTAATGATGATGATGTAGTTGAAGTTGTTGTTGTTACTGCTATTTGTTGAATTTGTTGGTTGCTGATGATGATGATGTAGTTGAGGTTGTTAATGTTGTTGCTATTTGTTGATGTTGTTGTTGATTTGATGTTGTTGCTATTTGTTGATGTTTTTGTTGTTGTCGACGCTGTAATAACGACCTCAGAAAACATAAATAAAAACAAAAAACAAACAAAACATTGGAAAATGTCACAAGCAAATGAAACAATGATTAAAAACTACATGAGATAAAACTGAATAATGGATAACAGACGACGACGACGAAGATGAAGACGATGAAATGAGGAAGACGATGAAGACGATGAAGAGGAAGATGATGAAGATAATAAAGATGATGATGATGACGATGATGATGACGTAGTCCTGATAACGATGCGCATTAATCATAACGAATGGAATTGTTATGGTTGCCCGGTTGGAAACACTCGTCATCTAGTCCATTCCATCTCCCATCATCATCATCATCATCATCATCATCATTCATTATCATTTATTAATCACACACACACACGCGCGCGCGCACACACACACACACACACACGGATACATACTTGTATATATATATGTCCATATATGCACACATACACACACTTATATACGCACATGTATGTGTATATATAAATTTTATGATTTCGCACTAGCGGTATTCAGCCGCGTTAAGCGCTAAATAATTTAGAAGCTACGTTGTTAAATAAGGAAATCTTAACCTAAACAAATTGCATATAAATTTGTTCTACTCAAGTATGTGTGTTTTGTTGTGTCTGTGTGTGTTTTGAGGTGTATGTTTTGTGTTTTGAGGTGTGTGTGTGTGTTGTGTTTTGAGGTGTGTGTGTGTGTTATGTTTTAAGTGTGTGTGTGTTGTGTTTTGAGGTGTGTGTGTGTGTTGTGTTTTAAGTGTGTGTGTGTTGTGTTTTGAGGTGTGGGTGTGTGTGTGTGTGTGTGTGTGTGTGTTGGCATGATGTTGTATTTGTTTGTGTTTTTGTATATCTGTATATACAAAACTTTGCATGTTTGATACAAATTGTATGTGTGTGTATGCGAAACTTTTTTCGTTGTATAAAAATTGTATGTGTGTTTATGCTAAAAATTTTATGTTTTATAAAATAATATGTGTATGTACAAAACTTTGTATGTTGTACACACACTGTATGTGTATACAAATATATAAACTACAATACAATACAATACAATACAATACAATACAACGCAATCTAATACAATACAATGCAGGCAGATAAAATTAAACAAAGAAAAAAAACAACAAATGGTTTTTCAAGCCAATATTTAACCACCTATCAATAACAAGGTCCTTTAGAAATGAGTTAAATTAATTCTGAAGTTATAAAATTGAATAAATTTTTGAATTAAAAATTGAATAAATTTTCAAAAAATGAATTAAGTTAATCTTTAAATTTAATTAAATCTCATTCCTAGTAGAAGAAAAATGTAAAAATTGTTTACTGAATAGACGAAGGAAAGTCTCGTATAATGTTGAATTGAAATACACCTTTTTTAAAAGCCTATGTTTTATTTAGTTAGTTATCTATACCCATTCATCTGTTCATCTATCTATCTATTTAATTATTTATGATGGTGGTGATGATGATGATGATGGAGATGATGATGATGATTTAGATGCAGATAGATTGACTCGTAAAGATCATTGCATGGCACGACATAGGGCAAACTAACTTTTATGTACCGGCTATAAATTTGTGTTCGTTCGTTTGTTCGTTCGTTCGTTTGTTCATTCAATCATTTGTTTATTCGTTCGTTAATTTATTCGTTTTTTCATTCGTTCATTTGCTCATTCATCAATCCATCAATTCATTCATTCATTCGTTCGTTCGTTCGTTCGTTCGTTTAATTAAAAGAAAACATTTGATCGCGAATGAAAAATTAATAAAAGTTAACAATAAAATCCTCTTGACAACAAAATCTACACTGAGGTCACTGACCCGAGCAATAGGAGGTAACAAACAAATTTAAATACACGTACACACACACACACACACACACACGCTCACACACACACACAAACTTACACACACACACAAACTTATACACGCACACAGATACAAAATAAGCCAGTGCTTGCGTGGGCGCATACGCACAAATGCACTGTTGGCATACAAAAACGCAGTTGCTTCATTTATAATTCAAACATAGGTAGCATAACCCAATCTACTTTAATAAAAGAAAAAGAACTATAGGTATACACACACACATACACACACACACCAACACACACATACGCACAAACACACACACAAACACACACGTATATACACCTCTCGTTCTCTCTCTCTCTCTCTCTCTCTTTCTCTTTCTTTTATGTGTGTTTATTTGTATGTGTGTATGTGAGTGTGTGTGTTTTTTTTGTATGTATGTATGTATGTATGACTTTTTTGCAGGGCTGCAATTTAAATTTACGACAAAAATAGATTAAATGTGGATCACCATAGTAATTACATGGAATGTGTACAATGTGTGTGTGTATGTGTGTGTGTGTCTGTATGTATGTGTGTGTGTGTGTGTATGTGTGTATGTAAGTGTGTGTGTGTATGTGTGTGTGTGTCTGTATGAGTGTGTGTGTGTAGGTGT